TCAACACACTAGTCAACTAGTCGCTTCTCTCCCTCCCACCCCAAAGAGGTAGCCAGGGGAGGGAGAAAGAGGTGTGTTTCAAAGCGGCAGCGCTGCATGAAGCCCAGGGTCAGCTGAGGACCCTGCTAATCCTGGGCTCCATGTGGCACTGCCACTTTGAAAAGCCACACGGAGCCTGACACCAGGCTCGCTGCAGCGTTTCAAAGCAGGCAGCACCACATGGAGCCAGTGGGGACTTGGAGTCCCCAGTTGACCCTGGGGCTGTTGCTACACTTCAAAGGTGGAGGCGCCCTTATCAACTAATTAAATAGTCAATGCAAATTGCATCGACTATTCGATTATCCAATTAATCTAAATTTACTATCCCTAGCATAGAGAGGGAATTCCCTTCCTGATCTCTGCAATCAGCTGATGTCCTGATGAATGAGAATGTAGCTTAGCTACTGGCAGGAAGAAAAGGGAACAGACTGTGTCATGTCAGGTTGCTCAAGGCTAAAATATCTAGTTTGACTCCCAACCTGACATTTTCCCTAAAACATGCAGGCGAGCTCAACTAGAAAGACTTTGAGTCAACCTTCCAAAGCATACAGTACTATGCATGAGAACTGCTGTTTCCCAGTTTCTTCCCACCCCACTGGCAACAGGACAACATATAAAAACTGCTTTCAGCTCCCAAGTTAAGCATCCTGCGAACTTCAGTGACGTACAGAAGAAATGATCAGGCAATATGAAAAAGCTGAGATACATCAAATTCGCCACTGATCAGAAGAGATACCAAAGCACAAAGACTTAAGAGATAAAATGGATCCCTTACCCCAGGCCTTTCTAATCACCCAATGTCATGGGAAACTAAACCTGACATCCAAACAGTAAAGATATAAGAGACTAAGAGGAAAAAAATATTTCTAAGATAAAAACTTGCCTTCAAGGAAAACAGTTGGCTACAGACACTGCACAGCTGCAGACACCCCCTCTCAATCCCATGCCTCCTGCATAGACTTGGAATTCGAAGGGAGGAGATAATGCAGCTGATTTCTGTAAGCTGCTCTTAGCAAAGTGGCCCAGTAATCTTGAAATTCAGACAGTTCCTAGGAACTTGTCTGCAGACTCCACACAACTCTTACGTAAAGTGCACACACAGCAATTCATTACATCAGTATCTCTTCTCCAATTGTTTTTCCTGCCTCAAACTCACATACTCTCCAAACACTTTCTATGGGAGAGGAGTAAAATCCTACACTATCTGACTGGAAAATCCTGCTTACCCTCAAGATACCAACACTACTACCTTTGGTGGTGTTAATCAAGACCTCAATGCCCTTTATGTCATTTATGAGTGCATAAGACATCTGTAGGATGAATAAACTGGTACAGAGAGATTTCTTTGACTGGGGAACAAGTCTTGCAGATCTGGGGAAGTGGTAGATGTGGTATACCTTGATTTTAGTAAGGCTTCTAATACTGTCTTGCATTACCTTCTCATAAACAAACTAGTGAAATGCAACCTAGATAGAGCTACGATGAAGTGGGTACTGAACTGGTGGGAAAACGATTTCCAGAGAGTAATTATCAGTGATTCATAGCCAAGCTGGAAACAGCATATTCAGTGGTGTTCTGTAGCAATTAGTTCTGGGTCTAGCTCTTCAATATCTTCTTCTATGATTTAGATAATAGCATAGAGAATACATTGATACAGTTTGCGGAGGATACCAAGCTGAGAAGTGCTTTGGAGAATAGGGTCATAATTCAAAATGATTTAGACAAACTGGAGAAATGGCCTGAAGTAAACAGGACGACGTTCAATAAGGACAAATGCAAAGTACTTCACTTAGAAAGGAGCAATTAGTTGCACACATACAGAATGGGAAATGACTGCCTAGGAAGCAGTACTGTGGAAAGGGAACAGGATCAACCAGGCAGGAGGAGTCACCATGGAACACAAAACAAATATGAGCCAAAAGTGTTAACATGGTGGGAAAATAAAAGCAAACATAATTCTGGGATGCATTAACAGGAGTGTTGTGAGCAAGACATGAGAAGTGATTTTGATGCTCTACTCTGCACTGATTAGGCCTCAGCTGGAGTACTGTGTCCAGTTCTGGGCACCCCATTTCAGGACAGATGCGGACAAACTGGAGAAAGTCCATAGAAGAGCAACAAAAATGATTCATGGTCTAGAAGACATGACCTATGGGGGAAGATTGAAAAAAAATGAATTTGTTTTAGTCGGGAGAAGAGGAGACCAAGAGGGGACATGGTAACAGTTTTCAAGTATATAAATCACTGTCACAAGGAGGAGAGCAAAGTTATTCTCTTTAACCTCTGAGAAAAGGACAAAACGTAATGAGCTTAAATTACAGGAAGGGTGGCTTAGGCCTGCAGTCCCAACTGAAACTCTCACCCCCTGCACCCCAACACTCTGTCCCAACTCTGAGCCCCCTTCCACATCCCAAACCCCTCATCCCTGGCCCCAGCCCCATCCCAGAATCTGCACCCCAAACCAGAGCCCTCATTCCCCCACACCCCAACACTCTGCCCCATCCCTGAACCCCAAGCCCCCTCCCACACTCCAAACCCTTTGGTCCCACTTGCACCACACATCACCTCCATGTGTGTGCAAAAGAAAACGGATTCCGCACATGGACACAAAAAATTATAGGGAACACTGGTTGTAACAATGGGGGAGGGGAGGTGTCCAACCAAAAGGAGGTTGTGGGAGATTACAAAGCTGTTGTAGAGAGCAGGGGGCATCACCAGACTGTCACCCCCACTTCTGGTTCCTGCAGCTGAGAGAGGTTCTAGGAGGTGGCTCTAATGTGCCAAAAGCAGTTGTGCAGGGGAAGTGGTCTTCCTGGCTCTCCCCAGCCCCGCTGACTAGCAGCTGGAGCTCAGCCTATGCCCCCATCCTGGCCCTCTCCCTCCCCTTCAGTAGCTAGATTTCACAGGGCAGGTCTGACGTCATGGTCTGTGGCATGTTTTTCCATGTCCATAAAACGGGATATTCATCATCAGGGTCAGTGTTGCAGCAACGGCTCCCAATGAAGATAACAAGCTTTATCAGCAGCTAGCTGTGCAGCAGTGATAGTAACTTCAGAATTTGCTTTGGTTTTTTAATCCCTGAAGAAGTGTCCTCCACCGACTCCCCGTCCCTCCCAGGGCAGTTCAGAACTGTATTTAGATCACTCATTGTCTTGTTCCAGTCTGTCCCCAACCATCTAATACGGATCTCCTCTGGGCCCTCCTAGAATCTAGTTTTGTTTGGCAAGAGCAGGCTTTTTTGACATTCCCATCCTCCTGAACAGACTTCTGGTAGCCATTGTCTTTCCATCTTCTTTCAAACACATCCTCTAATCTATATCTGGACCACTTCATGTTGCTTGTGCCACATGAGACCCAAGATCTAGGATCTCTAAAATGTTTGCAGAAATCAGAGACCAGCAGAACAATGTCAACGAAACACAGGCATTTTAGAAGGAGCAGTTAGAAAACCATCCCCTTGCAACTCATACAGTAGCCCTGAGCTAGAACTTGAAAGAAATTAGCACCAACTATTAGCATCTGTCCAAAGCGAAGAGAAACACAAAGGAACACACACACACAGCAATACTTGTTTTAAAAAAAGTACTTTTGGTTTTAAGCTCGCATGCATTTTATTAACAACAGGTAAGGTTATTTTTTAAAAAGGGGCTATGATTTTAAACGGGGTGCTTCTTTAATTCATAAACTCAAAAGGCTGAGAGCGTGGAAGAGGGGGAGAGCGATCCCTTCCCCACCCGTGGTCCTTCTGTTTATGTCCATGTGTGGAATGCATTTTATGATGTGTACCAAACACGATGAGCAACACACCCCTTCCATATTGGTACACAGAACAAAATTCATTCTGCACATGGACGATCTGAGGCAAGGGTGGTGCTGAGGGGTTTGGGTGTGGGAGGGGGCTCAGGGTTGGGGGGGAAGAGAGCTCCGGCCGGGTGTGCAGGCTCTGGGATGGGGCTGGGAATGAAGCATTTGGAGTGCAGGAGGGGAACCCAAGCTGGGGTAACAGGCTGGGAGAGCAGGAGTGAGCTCAGAGCAGAGGGGTGGGGTGCCATGTCTGGGCAGGAGTAGGGTGCAGGAGGGGGCTCAGGGTTCGGACGTGGGATCTAGAGTAGTGGAAGGGGCTCGGGGCTGGGACAGGAGATTGATGTGTGGGGTCCTTACCCGAGGCAGCCCCCATTAATGGGGGGAGGGTGGGAAACAGGTGGCGCCGTGCTGCCCTACTCTTACCTGTAGGCACCACCCCCCACACTCCCATTGATCGTGATTCCAGGCAGGGAGCTGCCATGACTGGAGGAGACACGCACTCCTCCGGCCACAGCAGGGCAAGCGGGCACCTCGACCTCTCTCCCAGACATGGGAGCTCAGCACATCACAACCCTGAGTCGCTACACAGGGCTTATTAGGCAGCGGCGCAGCTTAGAGGTAACCTTGGGGCCCAGACCTGACCCCATGTCAGATTGACATACAGCATAATGTTGTCTGAGTGTTTTAACCAGATAAACAAACCAGCTCTGCAGGGTTAACACCCAATACAGCAGGGATCTCAAACTTCCAGACCATGTGCCAGCCCTAGCCGGAGCAATTACACGATCTGGCCCGGGACTCTCAGCAGGACAAGAGAGGGGAGGACCTGTCTGTTACCATCGCACAAGCCCGTTAAGGGTGAGGTTTACCAGTGAACCAGTTAAAAATTCACATCCCTACATAGTATAAGAATTTTTCTTTTTAAAAAAAATCAGTGAATCTTTCTAGGGTGCTGTCAGATCACCTAATTATCAGCCCATGTGCCAGTGACATTTTTAAACTTTGCAAACGTCACAGAAATATCACTAAACAATTAAACGGAATGTATTCTGTTTGCTGGAGTGTGGCCATGAGGACCACCTACAACAGGTCTTGCTCAGGTATGGGCCCAAAAAACTTCTCAATGGATGGCTGATTATTAATCAGAGGGCTGTTACCTGTTCTCAAAGCACCAACTGGTTCATGGAGCTGCATTTACTCATGCTTCCTCTCAGGTGTAGTAAATTCTCAGCAGAAGGTAACATGCAACATCCCCAAGAGATGGCACTGCCTAGAATAAAATGAAGAAATAGGCACTTGTAACTGAGAATTGGTCATTGCTGAAAATGACCCTAAAAATATACCCTAAAAATGATCGGTTAGACCAGCGCTACTCAACATGCAGCCCACGGCGTGGTTTGGGTTTACAGTGCAGTTTGGGTTGATATGTGTTTGAGCAGTTAAATTCCTGGACTGTTGTGAAGACAAAACAAAAAACAAAAATCAGTCAATATAATGGTCTTCTGTTGATATGCATTTTAGTTAAATTCCTGGACTGTCTTTGCTCATTAAAAGTGCTGTCATAGGGGTGGAAATCGGGTAAATCTTGCATTTTATTAGTATCAGCAGAACTGACTTAAACCGGGCCTGTGTGTTGTGTAGTCTTGCCTTAATCTTTGTATTCATGCCCGTCAGTGTGAAAGAAGCTGTTTGCATATATATTTGCATGTATGTGCAACCACACTTACGTTGCAGCCTTCAGCATGTGCTGTGAGTATCATTGTGGCCCCTGGGGCTTCCAAAGTTAAGTAGCCATGGGGTAGATGTTAATTTTTTCTGCATTATCTTTAGAGGAGAATAACACAGCAAGCTCTCATATCTGAGAGCTGTCACCTACTGGGGGGTTGTGCCCACTGCTCGCTAGGCTCGCCTACCCCTTCTCTCGGGGCAGGTATCTGGCTAGGAGCGGGCTGATGCTGCAGGGTCTCGACAGAAGGGGTGAGGGAGTGGAGCCTGGATGGTAGAGGGGACCCAGTGCAGCCCAAAGTGAGGGCTCGGGCTCAGATAGCGGAGGGGACCCAGGCTCAGCACCTCCCGCCTAGCAGCACAGCCCCCCAGGCATGAAGCAGGAGCCAAAACTGGAGCAACCCATGCGCAGAAGGGATGGCGCCGGGGCTGGCCACAGCAAGCGGCTGAAAACAGAGGCGGAGACGTGAGGACACAGATGACATGATATCACTGTCGTCCCACCGGAAAACATTTTATCTATCTATCTATAAAGACATAACCATAAAGCTGTGTACAGATTGTTCAAGATCCAAACCACTTCCCACTGAAGTCAATGGAAGACTTTCTGATGGCCAACATCCTCGTTTTGTGGAAGGTACGTCTTCATAAAGTTATCCTGAGTAATTACATTGAATTTACACTGAATTCCTGCACGTGAAAACCCTCATGCTCAGTGTGATGGCACATCGGGGAGCCCCCGACCCTACACTCCTGTCTGCAGCCAGATGTGACTCAGTCAGGCCGTAGAACAGAAGGGTTATTTGCTTCTCACAGATACAGCACAGCACAGGCTAGACATTGCCACAGGAGCCAGGGCGCACAGCCTTAGTTCCCTTGGGAGGGAGGGGTTCACAGGCCCTTGAACCCCCCCTGTCTGGACTTAGTCTGCTTCCTTCATGCTTCTCTCCCCCAAGACTAAAGCAATCCCCAGCAACTGGTCCCTGAGCCCCCACGCAGCTCTGCCTGCTCCATTGTCCTGCTCCCAGACCAAAGGTGATTAATGTCTATCAGGGATAGTCTAGACAGTATTTGGTCCTGTCATGAGGGCAGGGGACTGGACTCGATCACCTCTCAAGGTCCCTTCCAGTCCTAGTATTCTACAATTCTAAGGTGAATCTTTTGTCACCTGGTCCCCAGGAAGTGAGACACTAACATACTTCCACAATGAGTCATGCCTGGCCTCCCCCCCCCCCCCCCACCCGCCCTATCAGGGATAGTCTAGACAGTATTTGGTCCTGTCATGAGGGCAGGGGACTGGACTCGATCACCTCTCAAGGTCCCTTCCAGTCCTAGTATTCTACAATTCTAAGGTGAATCTTTTGTCACCTGGTCCCCAGGAAGTGAGACACTAACATACTTCCACAATGAGTCATGCCTGGCCTCCCCCCCCCCCCCCCACCCGCCTAATGTACACCCACACACACTATACCCCCCCCACTAAGTGACACTCAGCCCCACCCAAGGGCCTGCACACCCCAACTGGTACCCGCACCCCAACCTGCACCTCAACCCCCAGGAATGCTCACAAAATCGGCCCTCCAAACAATTTCCATAACGAGATGTGGCCCTCAGGCCAAAATGTTTGCCCCCCCCTTCTCTATGGTACTACAAATAATAAGAGCGAAAACAAGCCGCATGAGAAAGAGAATCTGTTCACATATCCTAGCATTTAAATAGTCACAACAAGGCTTTGTCACACACCTCACGTAAATGAGCAGGGTGGTAGTAGGGTGAGTTCACAGCTTTGCTGTTGATCTGGTTTAGCTGGAGACTTTTTTTAAAAAAGTTTTGCAAGTCTAGGTTATCAGGACAACAGCAGAACACCTGGGAAAGCAATGGAGAAGGGCAGCAGCAACAGAACTAGGCAGACTTCAGTTCCTGTCTACACATAAAGCTGTACCAGTTTAACAAAAAGTATGTATTTTTTAACCCCACACATACAACCAGTTCTGTTCTGCATTGGTAAGGGACCTCTTTAAACTAAGTCAATATAAACCAGGTTTAAATTCAAGAATGTCCACATTCAGGTTGCACCAGCTTAAATAAACCGTTTTTTAAAACAATGCCGCTTGCTATGAGGATCAGCACTTGCATTGTTGGGATGTCTGTGCTGTGTGAGTTCTAATGAAACATTTACACTCTCCCTCCTGCAAATTACCTTAGCTGTGCCAACCTCACCCTCCTGCCGCAAAAATCCTGTGTCATGGGGCACAAAGAAAGTAGAGCTTCATTGGGAATTGTCAAAGATAACAAACGCCCATGCTCACTAGTGATTTTTCAGTCATAGAGATAGATGATTGTTTAACTTTCCCTCTCCAAGGACCAATTCCTCAGCAAGTGCTATTCTGTAGGTTTCTTTAATCACCTGTTTGGGTAATTGATGAGCATGGGGTCTTGAGATGCTATGTTCACCCACACACTCTTGCCAGTAAAATAGCTAAAGGAACTTTCCATCTAACTTGGAAAAAAACAAACACTCCCAACTGAGAATTTTACAAAATAATAAGCAAGTGAAAACAAATGAAGTTTTAGCTTTGCAGACACAGAGTAAAGATATGGAAAGATTACTATGATGGAGAACAAGTGATTAAGCAGCTGTTGGCTCTCAGTTGTACGCCAGAATTTAACATTTAAATTTTTTTTAATTAAATGTCTAATCCTTATGGTTGAGAAACAAACCTTCCAAACCAACCAAATTTAGCTTGATGCAGCTGGTCTTTCTGAACTGCAAGCACACAGCTTGAAACAGTAGCTCAAAAGAGCATGAATTACCACATTCTTCTCCGCTGGTTAATGATGCACTGCCAGGTGCTGCCAAAAGTTGCTAAAGTGCAAATACATCTGTATTAAGCATTTGTGAAATACAGCATAGAGTCCCAACTCAGTAAAATCTCACAGTTCTGAATTTAATTCCAGCTGTTGCAGAATACAACACGCGTGACACAAATCAAGGTGCCGTACTGAAGATTTTAAACCTAGTTGGCTGCAAAGTAAGGGATATTATTAGGGGAGTCAGTTACACACATGAGGTATCAGCTTCCACTGATGTGTGGTGTGTAACTGCCCCGGCCATCAATAACTGCACCCCTATAAGCCTACGTTTAAAGTAGGAGCCCTTTACCACTCGGGGAATAGCTGTATACTCTACCGACAAAGAACTCTTAGCTTAGACACAGTTATACTGGTCACCACACTAGGGGCTTCTGCTAGCACAGCTGTATTGAACATGAATTGTGTCTTTTCTCACCCCTGACTGTCACAGCGGGGCTGACAGAAGTCTGTAGTGTGGACCAAGTCTACAGCTTGTATTCTCGCTGAACAAGTTTACCAAAGACAGACGCACAAAAATACCCCATTCATTCCCCTTAAATCTCAGTTCTTCTGAAGTGGGTCTGGCCCACAAAAGCTCATCACCTAATAAATCATCTTGTTAGTCTTTATAGTGCTACATAGTCCTGTTTTTTGTTTCAGTTACACCAGACTAACACGGCTACATTTCTATTACTATTCCTCTGAGTGGGAAGTTAAAATTGATTTAGAAGCTGACAGTAATATAAACCCCAAGATTTGAGCTAATTGCAGGGATTAGTAATTCTGGTTGGACAAGATATACACACCACACGCATTTTGAAATAAGACACCAACATCTAGACCTAATGTCTCACAAGGGTCTGACCGACAATGCTAACAATTTGAATCTACCTAGGACCCAAAATGATGGTCACACGAAGGAAGAATTGTACACTGTACACATGTGCGCGCATGTGCTCCAAGACATAGACACAGCCCCAAAGAACCAGAAAAGAAACAAAGGCAGATGGGCAAAGCATTCCTACATAAGTGACTTGACAAATGTCATAGCTGTTCAGTGGCAGAAGCGAAATCGGAACTCAGGACTCCTGATTTCAACCCCAAACTTGTCCACTACACCATATTCCTTTACCATTTTCCTTGGCAATAAACTCAAGGCATTCAAATGTAAACAGTCTGTAATAATTTAAGTAAAATGCACAGCTTGGGAGGGAAACTGAGGGCTTGTCTACATGTAGAGCGATGCAGCCATGGCACTGTAGTGAAAACACTACTACACCAACAAGAAAGCTTCTCCTGTTAGTGCAGGTCAGAGGTGGGGAGCCTGCAGTCCATGGGCCACATCCAGCTCACTGCTTCATTTCTTCCAGCTCACACAAGCCTCTGCACCGCGGACAGGAAGCCCCAAGCCTCAGCACACACCCACCCCTTCCTGCAGGGCTGGAGCCATAAGCACTGGCTTGCTAACATGTCCCTGCAGCCCCTAAGCAGAGGAGGGAAATCAGGGAAGTTCGGAATGCTGCCCTTGATCTCAGAGCGACTCCCCAGCTCCCGCTGACTGGAAACCACAGCCAACGGGAGCTGCAGGGTGGTGCCTATGGGTGCACACAGAGCCTTCTAGCCCCTCCACCCAGGGACTGGACATGGCAGCAGCTTCCAGGAGCATTGCAGAGTGCGGGGCAGACAGGTTAGCCCCGCTGAGCTGCCAACTGGGAGCTACCAGAGGTACGTGCTACTCAACCAGAGCCTTGACGTCTTTCCTGCACACTAACGCTCTGACCCTGGTCAGAACCACCTCCTGCACCCGAACTCCCTCCTAGACCCTGCACACCCACCCACACTCCCTCCCAGAGCCCATACTCTGAACCTCCTCCTGCACCCCAACCTGTCCTAGCCCTGTCGTCACCCCTACCCCAGCCCTGTGTCTCCTCCTACACCCCAAACTCCTCATCCTAAATCCCCACCTCAAAGCTGGAGCCTTCACCTCGAGCGCCTGCCCTAGCTCAAAGCTCCATCCTGCACACGGAAGCCCTGATTTCTGGCCCCGAACCTCCAACTCCCCCCAGCAATATGTGGCCCCCAACTAATTTTGCCTGTGGCCCCTGACAGAAAAAAGGTTCCCTACTCCTCGTGTAGTTAATCCAACTCTGCAGGAGGCAGTAGCAATAACACAGTGCTAACTACAAAGGGGGAAGGGGCGGTTAGGTTCGTATAACTATTGCTCAGGGAGATGGATTATTCATAACCCAGACAATGTAGATAACAATGTAGATGTTAGGGATGTACAAAACCTTTTTAAAAAGTAACCACATAATTTAAAAATCTGAGACATTAAACACGCTCCGGGCTCCCCAGGAGCAGGGCTGGTAGCCAGAGCCAGCATGCACCAGAAACTGGCTTATAGTATAGGGATGTGAACGAGTACTCAAGTAGCCAATAAGCCTAGGCTTATCGGTTAATCTTCTTGACTACTCGATTTCACCTCCCCCTTGCTGCCTCTGCACCAGAGGCGGGGGGGTAGAAGAGGAAGAGTGAAAGCAGAAATCAGTGCTGGGGGAAGCTGTCTAAAAAAATGGTTTCTCCCAGCAATGGCTCTGCAGTGCCACCTGGCCTACAGGTGTTCCGCATCCCACAGAGCAGCCTCTGTCTAACTCTATGGCAAGCCTGGGCCAGCTGCAGACAGATGCTGCTTGCAGCAGCCTCCCCCGCTCCTTCCCAGTAGCCTCTGTCCACAGGGAGACAGGGACTGCTGCCATCCCGCACTGCTGCCTCTGTATCAGAGGCAGCAGCACGGGGTGCCAGGTGGGAGCCAGTCTGCAAGGGGAGCTGGGTTTTAAACTGGCTTCCCTCACAGACCAACTCCCGCCTGTCATCCTGGGCTGCTGCCTCTGATACAGTTTGATACAGAGGCAGCAGCAGCGCAGGGTGGCAGAGGGCTCCCTGAAAATGGGGCAGGAGTGCACTGGCTTCCGGCCCCACCCTCGGGGACTATAGATAAATCAACTAACCACTAAGAATTCATGCAGTTAGTTGACCTTTCTATGACCTTTCCATAAGAAATTTCTATTTCTTATACCATCCCTAGTATACGTTTGTAGTGCAGACCTGGCCAAAGAAACGTGTGTCTAACATTTAAACACACATTCTCATGATGGCAATTGGATGACAACTGAGAGATGCTGGGGACTTTTACCAGCCTAGTCTTTGTTTGTTTAAAAATTAAACTAATGTCAAGGAAAAAGCCAACAAAATATACTCAAGCAAACTAGAACCTTGACAGTTATGTGTAGCCATTGCTACTTTTACCATGCAGCACCTACTCATGTGCCACTGCAAATCAGGTACTGTATACAGCAGTGGTCCCCAACATTTTGGGGCTGCCGAGCGCCTGGGGGCGGGGCCGCTCACGCGCTACGTGTACAGGGGTGGGGCCGCTCACAGGCCACGTGACTGGGGGTGGGGCCAAGCATGTGCAGCATGCCCGGGGCCGGCACTGGCATGTGCCATGACCCCGGGCAGGGGCTGCCCAGGTGCCGCCCAGGTGCCGCGCGCCTGGGGCCGGCCATGCGCCCGGGCCTGGCACCTGCTGCACGCCTGGGGGAGGGGCCAGCCCAGATTGCTCCGCAGGCACACATAAATGGCCCAGCGGGCACTATGGCGTCCGCGGGCACCGCGTTGGGGACCACTGGTATACAGCCCCATATCCCATCCCATATACATTAAGAACACAAAAATGGACATACTGGGTCAGATCATCTAGCCTAATACACAGTCTCCTGACGATGCTAATGTCAGATGCTTCAGAGGGAACAAACAGGGCAATTATTGTGTGATAATTGTTGTCCAGCCCCAGGTTCTAGCAGTCAAAGGCTTAGGGACAATCCAGAGCAGAAAATTACATCCCTGACTGCTTTGGCTAATTGTCATCAAAGAGGGAGGGGACAGAAAATCAAGTCAGTTATGCTGTTGACCTTTACAATATCTCCTGGCAACAATTTCTACCAGTTGACTTTGCATTGTGTGAAGAAGTATTTCCCTGTTTGTGTTACACCTGATGCTTAATTATTTCATCAGGTGACCCTGATTCTTGGGTTATGTGAAAAGATACATTACACTTCCTTAGCCACTTTCTTCACACTAGTCATGAGTCTATAATCCCCCCCACCTTAATCATCTCTGTTCTAAGATACATGGTCCCCATCGTTTCTGTCACTCCTCATATGAAAGTTGTTCCAAACCCCTAGTAATTGTTTGCCCTTTTCTGTATTTTTTCCAATTCTTTTCTAAAAATGAGGAGACCAGAACGGCATGCAGTATTCTATCTTTACTGTCTCATTACCTACCCCTTTCCTAATGGTTCCTAACATTGTTAGCCTTGTTTGTTTCTTTTGGCCTGCCACTACACACTGAGTGGATGTATCCAGCAAACTATCTATGGTGACTCCAACATCCTGACTCCATCATTTTGGATGCAGAGCTGAAATTATATCCCAATGTGCATGATTTTACACGTATTGCTGATAAGTTCCATCAGCCATTTTGCCGCCTGATCACTCACTTTTGCGAGATCTCTTTGCAGGCAGCTTTGGACTTCACCAAGTCATTCTGTATCCTCTGCAAACTCTGCCACCACCCGGCCTGCCCCGTTTTCCAGGTTATCGGTGAACAAGCTGAAGAGCCCGGGGCCGGTCCAGCTCCTGGAGGTGCTCTGCTATTTACCGCTCGCCAGGCGGAAAACGGACCGTTTATTCCTACGCTTTGTTTGCTGAAAGGGCAGCGAGGCATCCTGCTTGGGGCGGCCGCAGCCCCACCGACTTCCTCCAAGCGCAAACACGTTCGGCGGGACGCTACCTCGCGCAGGATGCTCCTCGCCCGGGCGCACACCAGGACACCTCCCTCCCGGCTGCACGAAGGCCAGGGGGCCACTGGGCCAGCGGCAGGACGGGGGCTGCAGCGCGCCCCCCTTGCCGGCGACTCGCCCCGGTGCACGGCGCCCTGGGGACC